AATGGTTCATACTATTACCAGTTCTCCACAGGTAAACCTTTTGAGCTCAATTGCACATTACAGTAAAAAGGTATACTAGTACACTTTAACTAGTAGCCCTGCTAACCTAAATTATTCTATAAATCCATTTACCCATCTGCATACTTTAACTAAACATGACAGCCATGTCCTCCTTCACTGTTTATCTCCTCTTGGCTGATATTTTTCTCAGCGCTGCCCAGGCCTGCATAGTTAGCCCATACATCTGAACAAGGGCCTTACTTTTAGAGTCTCCAGTGAGCCCCCATAGGCTTGGCAACTTGATGTAGGGTCCTGTTTAAGTCTGTGTGGACTCACTGTGTACTTTAACATTTACTTTGGATAGGTTTTCTGTAAGTTCAGGTTACAGGGTTAGTAGGAGGTTACATTCTAATTTCCCATGAAAATTAATTTTTCACACCATCCTGACACCTAACCTGAAATGAACACTTACTCTAGCCCTGAAATGTAACGTTTAGCCTCACCCTTAATTTAGTCCTTTTTCTAACTCTAAAATCAACTTATTTAAATTGCACCCTAATTCCTAACCCCCTGTACTCTAACAGTAGTCTTAACCTAACTTCTAACATTACTTCTAACACTAACCTTACCCCTAAAATGAGTACTGACCTTAACAGGCACTTAAAGTGGAACCAAAGTTCACCTTTACTTATCTCGCCTCCAGCTTTTAATTGTCTCCAAGCACCGACATCATTGCTTAGTATTCTGGGTTCAACATCTTATGTACTCAGAGCTGCACATGAGCAACTTAGTGTAGGTTCTACAGAAATAAGGTTTTATTGCGGAAAAGGATTAATATGGGAAGATTTACTAAAAGTGGTGTATTCAGAATCTGGTGCAGCTGTGCATGGCAGCCAATCAGCTTGTAACTTCAGCTTGTTCAATGAAGCTTTGGCAATAAAACCTGGTAGCTGATTGGTTTCTGTGCAGAGCTACACCAGATTTCTTTACTCTCCTGTTGTGGGAGATAACCCCCTTTGTGTCCTCTGCAATAAAAAGCCTGCCTGCTTGCAAGGTTTTGGGGGCAATGGTAGATTTTTCCTTAAAAAAAAAAATGGTGCTGAATCCCTACACTGAAGTACTGAGCAACACCTGTGCCCAACTCCTTGCACTGAAGCCAACTGTTCCGCCAGGTCTGTATAAAGCCTTTTTGTTATATTTTGAAGTCATTATTTCTTCAGTGGGCATGATACAATTCTTAATCCACTCTGCCCAAGAAAATGAATATAGTAATCACCAATGCATATGTATGGGAAATACATTCTAGGGAAAATGAGGACTGTTCCTCATGCTAAAGGACCCTACTCCCATAAAACATCCTTTCATCTGCTTTTTATCTCTATGATAATTATGTTTTGTACACTCTTTACTGAGATTATTGTATTATATAACCTAGAATTATGATGTTCTGTGCAGATAATTATTAAGTAGAACCTGACGCGTATATAGCAAGAATACGCTAGGATCCAACGCATGTCTGAAAACTAGGTCATCCTTCACATGAAGAATGTGTTCATGTTTTTCTTGATCACAACATGAATAAATAATGAAACTGCTGTTTTGGAAATTCTCTGTTAAAGGCTTTGCATATTCTTCAGTACACCTAAGCAAAATTACGGGGTTTATTTAATTAGGGAAAAAGCAGTATACAAAGTGTAGGAACCCATGGCAACCAATCAAAAGGCATCATTTTGAATTTATTTAAATGCTCTACACTGATAAAGTTTGATTGGTTTCTGTAGCTTACTGCAGTTTGCATGTCATTAATTCTGTTTGCAATGACAATATACGTATATAAACTGGGATCAGTCTTATTCAATAAAAAGTGTGCTAATTCTTATTGAAAACATGTGCTGGGATAAATCTACCATTGTTTACCTATGCTGACCTTCTGAAAACGCTACTGCTTCGGCTGTCTTTGGCTTGAATATTTTTTCATTTTTTTTAGTCATTGGCTGAAGACAGCATGTAACCAGTGATGTCAGAACTGCTGATCCATATACTTATTTTGGTTTACCGACTCTGAAAGCATTGAAGATATTGCATGAACATGACAACCAACCACTGGCATTTTGTCTGTGATTACTGTTAGGTGCAGCTAATTATTATTATTATTATTATTTATTATTATACAGTATTTATAAAGCGCCAATAGTTTGCTCAGCGCTGTACATTACAAAAGGGGACAGAACATGTGACAGAACAATACCAATACAATGCAAAACATGAGGGGATTTAGGGCCCTGCTCTTTCGAACTTACAATCTAGGAGATAAGCATTCATTTGTCCTAAACGAAATTTATGGTCTCAGCATACACTTTCATTTTATACTATCAACTAGAGATGAGCGAAGTATTCAAAAATTCGATTCGACTGATTCGGCGAATTCGTGGAAAAATTTTGATTCGAGTCGAATATATTCGCTGCGAATTTAACTTATAAAAGGGTGTTTCTAGGCTTCAGAGAGCCTTTATATTAGTGCAGAACACTGTACCTTTAATTTAAATGCCCTTGGAGTCTGCTGGGGAAGAGAAATAATACTGACAGTCAGTATGACATGCAGATGAGTGCCGTCGATCTTAGAATCACCGCACACTTAACTCATTTGGGCAGTCACGGGGCCAAAAGCAGAGTGTGGAGCCACAGTGTGGCGGTGGAGGCAGCAGCAATGGGAGGCCATACAGCACCCTATGACAAAAATGGAAACCACCAGCAGTGTGAGGAGACCTGAAAGTGGCACATGGCAGAGTGTGGTGATGGAGACAGCAGCAATGGGAGGCCGTACAGGGACCCATGACACACTCTGGACCTGGCAGCAGCATGAGGAGTCGGTACGGGGGCCCATGGTAGATTAGGGGCCTGGCAGCAGCTATGGGAGGCCCGTAATCTGCCAGCACCCTATGACAAAAAATGGAACACACCAGCAGTGTGAGGAGACCTGAAAGTGGCACATGGCAGAGTGTGGCGATGGAGACAGCAGCAATGGGAGGCCGTACAGGGACCCATGAGAGACTCTGGACTTGGCAGCAGCATGAGGAGGCGCTATAGGGGCCCATGGCAGATTAGGGGCCTGGCAGCAGCTATGGGAGGCCCGTAATCTGCCAGCACCCTATGTCAAAAAATTGAACACACCAGCAGTGTGTGAGGAGACCTGAAAGTGGCACATGGCAGAGTGTGGCGATGGAGACAGCAGCAATGGGAGGCCGTACAGGGACCCATGACAGACTCTGGACTTGGCAGCAGCATGAGGAGGCGGTATAGGGGCCCATGGCAGATTAGGGGCCTGGCAGCAGCTATGGGAGGCCCGTAATCTGCCAGCACCCTATGTCAAAAAATTCAACACACCAGCAGTGTGTGAGGAGACCTGAAAGTGGCACATGGCAGAGTGTGGCGATGGAGACAGCAGCAATGGGAGGCCGTACAGGGACCCATGACAGACTCTGGACTTGGCAGCAGCATGAGGAGGCCGTACAGGGACCCATGACAGACTCTGGACTTGGCAGCAGCATGAGGAGGCGGTATAGGGGCCCATGGCAGATTAGGGGCCTGGCAGCAGCTATAGGAGGCCCGTAATCTGCCAGCACCCTATGACAAAAAATGGAACACACCAGCAGTGTGAGGAGACCTGAAAGTGGCACATGTTTGGGGCATGATTCATGGCGGATTTAGTCAGTTGTGTCAGGAACTGGTGGTTTGAAATCCAGACTAATCCACGCCTGATTCATTTTCACAAACGTGAGTCTCTCCACACTTTGGGTGGACAGTCGTGTCCTCCGCGGAGTTGCAATACCTCCTGCCGCACTAAACACGCGCTCCGATGCCACGCTACTGGCCGGGCATGACAGCCTTTCAAGGGCAAATTCTGCTAGTTGGGGCCAAAGGTCAAGTTTCGTTGCCCAGTAGTCAAGGGGATTGTCTACCTCGGTTGGCAGGGTGCTGTCCAAGTAGGCCTAAGCCTGTTGTTTGAGGTCCTGCTCCAGGTCCACCTGATGCTGCTGCTGCTGCTGCTGCTGCGGCTGGTTAGTAGTTTCCTCACTGCGCTGGTGAAGAAAGCTACTCATCATTGACTGCAGACTGAGGCAGCTGCTGCTGGTGGAGCTGCCACTGCTCCTACCACCCCACCCCTCCCCTGCTGCCATGGCAGCGGAACGCGAGCGCACAGGGCCCACAGTGTCTGAGGATGGACGTTGGCGCAGACAGGCAGAGACCAGCTGACTACATAGGTGGTTTTTTATAGTACGTTATTTTGGCCTCCCTCTCAGCAGGTGTGAAAAAGGCCACCATTTTTGAACGGTAGCGAGGGTCCAACAAGGTGGACAGCCAAAAGTCATCCCTCTGTCTGATGGTTATTATTCGGCTGTCAGTACGCAAGCAAGCGAGCATGCTATGGGCCATTTGTGCCAAGGAATGCGAGGGACTCCCTGCCTCCATCTCCACAGCATACTGCCACGGTGCGTCTGGGTCCTCTGTCTCCTCTTCCTCCTCCTCTACCAGATGCTCCTGCTCCTCCACTCCTGTCCGCTGAGTGGAAAAACCACCCATTTCACTCAATAATTCCTGAGCACCAATGTCCTCCTCTACCTCCTCCTCTTCTTCCTGTCCTGCCCCCACAGGGGTCATGTGGCGTTGAGATCTGTGCGCCACGTCTACCGCACCCTGACCAGCCATTGTTAACAGCATTTGTTCCAGGACGTGCAACAGAGGAATGACGTCGTTCATCCCATAGTCCTGCCGACTCACGAATAGCGTGGCCTCCTCAAAGGGCCTGAGCAATCGCAGGTGTCACGCATGAGCTGCCAATGGCTGACATCTAAGTTACACAGGGAGTACCTTTATCCGCTTTTAACATCAGGAAATCTGTGATGGACGTCACAGCATGAGGAAGTCGGTACGGGGGCCCATGGCAGATTACGGGCCTGGCAGCAGCAATGGGAGGCCCGTAATCTGCCAGCACCCTATGACAAAAAATGTAACACACCAGCAGTGTGAGGAGATCTGAAAGTGGCACATGGCAGAGTGTGGCGATGGAGACAGCAGCAATGGGAGGCCCGTACAGGACCCATGAGAGACTCTGGACCTGGCAGCAGCATGAGGAGGCGGTATAGGGGCCCATGGCAGATTAGGGGCCTGGCAGCAGCTATAGGAGGCCCGTAATCTGCCAGCACCCTATGACAAAAATTGGAACACACCAGCAGTGTGAGGAGACCTGAAACCAAAGACAGCAGCCATGCCTGTACAGGGACCCATGAGAGACTCTGGACCTGGCAGCAGCATGAGGAAGTATAGGGGCCCACCCCCCCCATGGTGATTAGGGACCTGGCCAGCTAAAGGACTAGCCAGTTAAAGGACAAAAAAATGGCACCAGCAGTGTGAGGTGGACCTGGTGGTCGGGGCGGGTGTTGCATGAGAATGTGGACTGGCAGCAGCTCATGAGGAGGCGGTAGGGGCCCATGGCAGATTAGGGGCCTGGCAGCAGCAATGGGACGGCCGTCCGTAATCTGCCAGCACCCTATGACAAAAAATTCATAACACACCAGCAGTGTGTGAGGAGACCTGAAAGTGGCAATGGCAGAGTGTGGCGATGGAGACAGCTGCAATGGGAGGCCGTACTGGGACCCATGAGAGACTCTGGGACTTGGCTGCAGCGCTTGAGGAGGCGGTATAGGGGCCCATGGCAGATTAGGGGCCCGTAAAAACTCCCGCACCCCATGCAAAAAATGAACACCCCAAAGCGTGTGTGAGGAGACCTGAAAGTGGCCCTGGCAGAGTGTGGCGATGGGACGCAGCAAAGGGGAGGCCGTACAGGGACCCCTGACAAATCTGACTGGCAGCGCATGAGGAGGCGGTATGGGGGGCCCCATGCAG